ATATTTGTTTTACAAATTACTTGAAAATTGTGGTAAGCAGAAACAGAAGTGGTAGCTATTTTTACATACTAAAAATGACTTTGACTCAAAGAAAAGTAGGTCAGAGTAGCTACATCAAAACAACAACTTCAAAATATCTTGCCCCTTTAAATTCACACTTTATCAAAGTTTTAATGAATGTGAATGTAGATTTGTGTGGTTTTTACCTGATGGAAAGAGGAGTCTCTATTTAGAATTTGAAATAAAGGAAATACCTCTATGGCTCATATGTCATATTGTTAATTTTCTTTGATGATAGTGTTTCAAATACAATAAATACTGATTTTGTAGTTTGCACAGGTCACCAAGATGAACCATAAGGAGAAGCACAATCACACAGCAGTGACCAAGGTGACTGAATTTATTCTCATGGGGATTACAGACAACCCTGAGCTGCAGGTTCCACTGTTTGGACTCTTCCTTATCATATACTTGGCCACAGTGATGGGCAATCTGGGCATGGTTATCTTGACCTACTTGGACTCCAAGCTACAAACCCCCATGTACTTTTTCCTTAGACATTTGTCAGTTACTGATCTTGGTTACTCCACTGTTATTGCCCCGAAGATGTTGGTAAACTTCACAGTGAACAAAAATATAATTTCCTACAATTGGTGTGCCACTCAGCTAGCATTCTTTGAGATTTTCATCATCACTGAGCTCTTTATTTTATCAGTAATGGCCTGTGATCGCTACGTAGCCATCTGTAAACCTCTTCTGTATGTGATCATCATGGCAGAGAAAGTGTGTTGGGTGCTGGTACTCGTTCCCTATCTCTATAGCACATTTGTGTCACTATTTCTCACAATTAAGTTATTTAAACTGTCCTTCTGTGGCTCAAACATCATCAGTTACTTTTACTGTGACTCTATCCCTCTGATGTCCTTACTCTGTTCTGACACACATGAATTAGAATTAATAATTTTGATCTTCTCAGGCTGTAATTTGCTCTTCTCGCTCTCAATTGTTCTCATATCCTACATGTTTATTCTAGTGGCCGTTCTCAGAATGAATTCAAAGAAAGGAAGGTACAAAGCCTTCTCCACCTGTAGCTCTCATCTGATAGTGGTGATTGTGTTCTACGGGACATTATTATTTATTTACTTGCAACCCAAGTCCAGTCATACTTTGGCTACTGATAAAATGGCCTCAGTGTTTTACACCCTGGTGATTCCTATTCTGAATCCATTGATCTATAGCCTAAGGAACAAAGAAGTAAAAGAGGCTCTAAAGAGAACTTTGACCAATTGATTCAAAATTCCCACTTAATATCATAATATCCAGTTGCATAGTTGTGTACAATAGTCTTTGTTTAGTACTCTGTCCAACCAATTATAACATCAGAAAGTAGAAATATTCTATCTGCTTAGGATTTCCTCTTTTACTGGACAAAACATGTCCTCTTAGAGCAACCCATACTCTTTGTCACCTCAATGGAATAAATAAATACTACATTCAGGTAATATATGTCCTAAGCAATTTTCAAGATCATATTGGAACCTCTGCTATTTATAAATAAGACAAATTATATCAAGCTTACAGTTGTAGAGTTAAAAAGAAAAGCTTCTATCGTTCAAAGGGAGTGAAAGTAACCAGAAAATTAGTAATAGATATTTCATAGCAGGCACTGGGTATTAAATAAGATTGAACCAGAAAGAATGTGTAGGCTAGATAGGAAGCAAGAAAGTAATTAGATTTTCCTCTGTCTTCTTAGTGCAACCTGTACTTTTTGCCAGAAAGTAAGTAAATATGTGATTATAACACAACATGAAAAGGCTATTTAGACTGACCAACATGGTGAAACCTTGTCTCCTAAAAATACAAAAATTAGCCAGGCACGGTGGTGTGCGCCTGTAGTCTCAGCTACTTGGTAGGCTGAGACAGAAGAATTTCTTAAAACTGGGAGGTGGAGTTGCAGTGAGCTAAAATCACGCCACTACACTCCAGCCTGGGCGACAGAGCGAGGCTCCGTCTCAAAAGGGANGCCAAAATAGCCAAAGCCATCCTAAGCAAAAAGAAAAATGCCAGGGGCATCACTCAACCAAACTTCAAACTGTAATATAAGGCTACAGTAAGCTACAACAGAGATCACTGGAACAAAAGAGAAAATTCAGAAATAAAGCCATACAATTACAGCTATTTGATCTTTGACAAGGCTAACTAACCATATGCAGAATCTTGAAATTGTACTCACTACTTTCCACCACACACAGAAATTAACTTGAGATGGATGAAAGATTTCAATGTAAAATTTCATACTATAAAAATCCTAGAAGATAATCTAGGAAATACTCTTTCAATCTCAGCCTTGGCAAGGAATTTTTGGATAAGTCTACAAAAGCAATTGCAATAGAAACAAAAATTTGAAAAGTTAGACTTAATTAAACTGAATTGCTTGTGCATAGCAAAATAAACAGTGTAAACAGACACTTCAAAATTGGAGAAAATATTCACAAAGTATGCATCTGACCAAGGTTTAATATACAGAGTCTCTAAGAAACTTAAACAAACCATCAAGCAAAAAACAAACTCATTAAAATATCAGAAAAGGACATGAACAGGTACTTTTCAAAAGAAGACTTACATGTAACCAACAAACAAATAAAAATGCTAATGAGCAGTAATAATCAGAAATGCAAATCAAAATCACAATGAAATACTATCTGATCTCGTAAGAATGGCCATTATTAAAAAATTTAAAAAATATAAAAACACAACAGATACTGGCAAGTCTGCCTAGAAAAGAAAATGCTTGTATTGCTGATGGGAATGCAAATTATTTCAGCCACTGTGGAAAGCAGTTTGGAGATTTCTCAAAAAACTTAAAGTAGAGCTATCGTTTGATCCAGCAATTCCATTACTGGCTATATATCCAAAAGGAAAATAAATCATTCCACCAAAAAGACACATGCACATGTATGTTCATCATCACACTATTCACAATAGCAAAGGCATGAAATTAACCTATGTGCCAATCAGTGATGGATTGGATAAAGAAAATAAGTTACATACATATCCTGGAGTACTATGAAGCCACAAAAGAGAACAAAATCTTGTTCTTTGACAACATGATGCAGCTAGAAGCCATCATTAAAGCAGAAACAGAAAACAAAATACTGCATGTTCTCACTTTTAAGTGAGAGCTAAACATTGAGCAAATATAGTTATAAACATGTAAACAAAAGACACTGTGGACTGCATAAGTGGGAGAAGGGTGTCTGTTGAAAAACTAACTATTGACTACTGTGCTTCCTTACATGAGTGAAGGGAACCGTATCTCAAACCCCAGTATCATGCAATATACCCATGTTTCAATCCTGCACATGTATCTCTGTGTCTAAAATAAAAGTTGAGACTTAAACATAATTACAGATGTTAGAAGACATACCTTCTACTTATTGCTATTTGTTTCTTACATGTATCATTTTTGTTATTATTTTTCATCCTTTCCTCCATTTCAACATCCCTTTGAAATGAGTCTGAATTCTAAATTATGCATGGCTATATCAAATGTCCACAAGGCTTTTCAAAGAATGACCTAAGAAATTCAAGCTGAGCAATTCTAAGGAATCACACTGGGAAGGAAGACATTCTAGTTCCAAAAAAGCTGGAATGTATCATCCTTGATCATTAACAGGGCACCCACTAGAGATTTCAGAAGCAAATGTTACTCCAAATGCTTTTGAGGGCTTGAAAACAAGTGTCAAATACTGCTGACTAATCTTTGTTTAAAACACTTAATATTCTTTCCGAAAACAATACAAAAATATACAGCACTCATTAACACAAAATTCACAATATTCACCATCCAATCACAAATACTAGGCATTTGAGAAAGCAGGGCTATGTGACCCTATCTTGGAGATAATTCAAGTAGAGATTGAAATGGTATAATGATAGAAATAGCAGGCAAGAGATTTAAGACAACTTTTATGAATATGTTCAGTATACTAAATGATTTAACAAAAACATTAGCATTGTGAGAAAAAAATGAAGATTTAAGAAGCAACAGATATGGGACTTCTAGACAAAAATAGAGTATTGGATATGAAAAATATCTATGGAATGAGAACAATGGCATATTATACACTGAACAAAAGATTACTTAGTCAACAATGAAGACTACTGAAAATAAAGCCAGAGTAGAAAAATATTGAACAAAACCATGAAGTCTTAGTGACGTCTACAACAACAAGTTATTTTCAGTCATGTTTAATTTTAAGTCTAAGAGGAAAGAAGAGATTATATAGTGCAGAAAATACACAGGAAAAAAATGTGGCCAGAATTTTTTTCTAAATGTATTTTTAAAAAATCCTGGCCATATAAAAAGCTAAAATAATTCCAATTGGGGTAAATCAAAAGGAAATTATGCTAAAATGCATTATAGTCAAATTTCTGAAAACCAATAACAAAGAAAAATTCTTAAAAACAGAGATAAATAATAAACAAATGAAGAAGTTATTTACCACTGATTTCTTGACATAAAAAATATAATAAATAAAATCTTATTTTATCTCAGCCTAATACAGTTTATAATAAATTGTTTTATATCAGTTTATAATTACATATTCAACAAAATATATTTGGTCAATGGATGTATTATCAAATATTGCATAACATTTTTTCTAGAAAGTCATTATTCCATTTACTTGGTACTTGTTGGGGATTATAGATGTAATATTTGCATGCAGTGATGAAACTGGCATTTGTGATTTCCAGTCTTTAGTGATGTTGCATAATTTATTTGTTCAGTTAGACAGAGGCATAAGTACTTATGACTTTTTCTAAATGGAACATTTAGAGAATAACCAACAGATATCCAAGGCACTTTCCCTTGGGTAATTATGGACGATTTGTTTAATGTTGAGTCAGATTAAAACATCAACACAATGAGTCTCAAAAGGGTAGAAAAAATTTAAATCCATTCTGTAGCCACCTATGAGATCTAAAGCAGTAGAAAGCAAAGCAGACTCTCCATTGAGGTGAGTAGAAACATTGGTCTTAGAAAATGTCTAAGGGTACATCCTTAAAGCAGGTTGTCACCCAAAATCTTGAAGGGTCTCATACTCTGCAAAACTATTATTTCCCTTGCCATATACTGTTCTGTCACTAGTAGGACAGATGTGCAGACAGACCTGTTAATACAGTTCCCAATACTTGGTGCTATTCATTGTTTATGCCACCTTAGCTTTCAAATTACTTCATGCTTCAGTCATCTATTTTACAAAGATCTTTTTCTATCATTATTTACCTTGTGTCTTTCCTGTCTCATTCTCATTTCCTACCAATGAAGAGTGTCTGTAATGGAGAAGTGGTGTATTACAGTGTTTATGAGAACATATTCTGAAGTCAGAATGACTTTATTTGAATCCTGACATTACAACTTATAATGTGAGTGATCTTTAAGTAATCCAACTCTTTGTGCCTCAGAGTCTTTTTCTTTTAAATGGGGGTGGTATTACTGACTACTTCCTAGTGTTACTGTGTAGATCATATGAGTTAATATCTGTAAGACACTTGCAAAATTGCCTAGCACACAATGGATTTCCTTAGGTTATTGATATTCATTTGTATTTCTCTATCCGCTGAGCCCTTTTTTATGATTCTCTCTTAATGTTCATGAATTGTAAGAATGACAAGGTCCTTTTTCTGCAGAAGAATGATGTATAATTGGGGGATCAGTAGAAGGAGCAATTCAATAGGCAAAAAGTTCAGATGTGGCAAATGCAGACAAGATAGAGATTATTAACAAAATTCTCAAATTATGGGACAAATTTTGTTTTGGGTAAACAAGTTGAATTCATAGACAGAAGTATTGACATGTATAGAATGGTCAGAGATGTGTTACTTACTTCCTGATTCATTGCTCCATCAACAGTTTGGAAAATCTTGTCTTGCTCCTTTCAATGATCAGCAAAAATGTAAGATTTAATGGTTTAGGTATAGATATTTGTTTTACAAATTACTTGAAAATTGTGGTAAGCAGAAACAGAAGTGGTAGCTATTTTTACATACTAAAAATGACTTTGACTCAAAGAAAAGTAGGTCAGAGTAGCTACATCAAAACAACAACTTCAAAATATCTTGCCCCTTTAAATTCACACTTTATCAAAGTTTTAATGAATGTGAATGTAGATTTGTGTGGTTTTTACCTGATGGAAAGAGGAGTCTCTATTTAGAATTTGAAATAAAGGAAATACCTCTATGGCTCATATGTCATATTGTTAATTTTCTTTGATGATAGTGTTTCAAATACAATAAATACTGATTTTGTAGTTTGCACAGGTCACCAAGATGAACCATAAGGAGAAGCACAATCACACAGCAGTGACCAAGGTGACTGAATTTATTCTCATGGGGATTACAGACAACCCTGAGCTGCAGGTTCCACTGTTTGGACTCTTCCTTATCATATACTTGGCCACAGTGATGGGCAATCTGGGCATGGTTATCTTGACCTACTTGGACTCCAAGCTACAAACCCCCATGTACTTTTTCCTTAGACATTTGTCAGTTACTGATCTTGGTTACTCCACTGTTATTGCCCCGAAGATGTTGGTAAACTTCACAGTGAACAAAAATATAATTTCCTACAATTGGTGTGCCACTCAGCTAGCATTCTTTGAGATTTTCATCATCACTGAGCTCTTTATTTTATCAGTAATGGCCTGTGATCGCTACGTAGCCATCTGTAAACCTCTTCTGTATGTGATCATCATGGCAGAGAAAGTGTGTTGGGTGCTGGTACTCGTTCCCTATCTCTATAGCACATTTGTGTCACTATTTCTCACAATTAAGTTATTTAAACTGTCCTTCTGTGGCTCAAACATCATCAGTTACTTTTACTGTGACTCTATCCCTCTGATGTCCTTACTCTGTTCTGACACACATGAATTAGAATTAATAATTTTGATCTTCTCAGGCTGTAATTTGCTCTTCTCGCTCTCAATTGTTCTCATATCCTACATGTTTATTCTAGTGGCCGTTCTCAGAATGAATTCAAAGAAAGGAAGGTACAAAGCCTTCTCCACCTGTAGCTCTCATCTGATAGTGGTGATTGTGTTCTACGGGACATTATTATTTATTTACTTGCAACCCAAGTCCAGTCATACTTTGGCTACTGATAAAATGGCCTCAGTGTTTTACACCCTGGTGATTCCTATTCTGAATCCATTGATCTATAGCCTAAGGAACAAAGAAGTAAAAGAGGCTCTAAAGAGAACTTTGACCAATTGATTCAAAATTCCCACTTAATATCATAATATCCAGTTGCATAGTTGTGTACAATAGTCTTTGTTTAGTACTCTGTCCAACCAATTATAACATCAGAAAGTAGAAATATTCTATCTGCTTAGGATTTCCTCTTTTACTGGACAAAACATGTCCTCTTAGAGCAACCCATACTCTTTGTCACCTCAATGGAATAAATAAATACTACATTCAGGTAATATATGTCCTAAGCAATTTTCAAGATCATATTGGAACCTCTGCTATTTATAAATAAGACAAATTATATCAAGCTTACAGTTGTAGAGTTAAAAAGAAAAGCTTCTATCGTTCAAAGGGAGTGAAAGTAACCAGAAAATTAGTAATAGATATTTCATAGCAGGCACTGGGTATTAAATAAGATTGAACCAGAAAGAATGTGTAGGCTAGATAGGAAGCAAGAAAGTAATTAGATTTTCCTCTGTCTTCTTAGTGCAACCTGTACTTTTTGCCAGAAAGTAAGTAAATATGTGATTATAACACAACATGAAAAGGCTATTTAGACTGACCAACATGGTGAAACCTTGTCTCCTAAAAATACAAAAATTAGCCAGGCACGGTGGTGTGCGCCTGTAGTCTCAGCTACTTGGTAGGCTGAGACAGAAGAATTTCTTAAAACTGGGAGGTGGAGTTGCAGTGAGCTAAAATCACGCCACTACACTCCAGCCTGGGCGACAGAGCGAGGCTCCGTCTCAAAAGGGAAGGGAAAGGGAAAGGGGAAAAGGGAAAAAGAGAAAGGGAAAAGAGGGGAGGGTTGGAGAAGGGAAGGGAAGCTGTTTAAAAATTAAAGCTAAGTACACAATAAAGTAAAGCTATCTCAGAATGAGGTTTTCAATCAGATGAAGTTAATATTGTACATGTTAGAGATAAAGTAGGCTTTTGATTAGGAGTGATAAGAAAAATATTGGATATTCTAGATCTTCCTTGACAGATCCTATCACTATTGCAAACACTGGTTTCTGATAACTTCCTGATACACTGATTTAGAATTGACAACCTGAAGATAAATAAGTTATCTGGTCATCTATTGTAATGATATTAATACAGAATTGAGAAAATTATATGGAGATAATACGGATTACAGAAAACCGATACACTCGAGAGTGAGTTGCATTTCCATTCCTGTCTTCTTTGTCTCCCTCGTGAGCCTGTATACACAGTGGCATGGAATGTATACTAACATAATGCTGCATTTACATTGTGTATTCTCACTTAGCAAATAAATGGATTCCTTACATTTTAATATTCTCCCATTGTTTCAGTGGGCCTCCTTTTTCAGATTGTAAAAATATATACACTTTTCTAATTGTGCCTGTTTCAATTTAATCTGGTGTTCAAAGTAAAATTGTGAGGAATTGAATCAGAAAATGAACCATGGGGTCTTTAGCCAGATCCATTTATTCTCTTCCTTTTTTCATCTTCTTTCATTCACTGTATTCTACGTCATCTAAACATAAACTGATCATAATAATAGAAACACAAAATTACATTAACCGATCATATCAAATTTGTTTACTTCTGACTTTGATAACATCTGATCCTGTTCATAAGCATATTAATTTTTATAATCAATTTTACTTTTCCAGAGTAATATTTTATTATTTTTTTTTTGAGACAGAGTCTTGCTTTGTCACCCAGGCTGGAATACCGTGGCACGATATCAGCTCACTACAACCTCCACCTCCTAGGTTCAAGCAATTCTCCTGCCTCAGCCTCCTGAGTAGCTGGGACTACAGGCGCACACCACCGTGCCTGGCTAATTTTTTTTTAGTAGAAATGGAGGTTTCATTGTGTTGCCCAGGATGGTTGAGAACTCGTGAGCTCAGGCAATTCGCCCACCTCTGCCTCCCAAAGTGCTGAGATTATGGACGTGAGCCACTGCGCCCGGTCCAGTGTAACAATTTATATTATAATGAGTAAATATAACTCTTTGGTTTTGTATATTTTCCCTTCACAAATAATACAATTCTATCCCTTTCTAAAACCCAGAACTAAAATTAAATAATATTAATAGCATTAAAAAAATCATGCTATATTATGTTTAAATTGCCACCAAAAACATATGCTGTAACAAATATCTTGATTATAAAATAATATACTGGCAATTTTTATTTCTAGAATAAATGTATCTGGTTATTCTACATTCTAATAATGTGTTGTTGGGGGTAAATATTTTGCATAAATAAATTATAATTTTAAAATTTTTTAATGAGAATAAATGATGTGAAATGTGGGTTTTTCCAAGTAGTGTTCCTTCTTTTGTCCATTTTTTATGAAATACTAACATTTACTAAAATATTATTTTCATTGTGTGATGACAAAAATGCAAAATGACAGTAATAAGTGTCTAAAGTCAGCTATTTGATACCATAGATAAAATATAGATGGTTTTCAAACATTACATTCTTCTCTACAAAAAGTTTATAATATTCCACTGCAGTTGGACACTGCTATTGTCCCTGATAGTCACAAAACACACATTCTGATTACGACTATAATCATGAGTAGTTGAAAAATAATGCTGCCAGACTGTATAAAATTCCTTTAGTATTTATATATTCTCAAACTTCTTCCCATAGTTAAAACTTTTAGCATTATTTGATTTATTTTTCACTCCATGTCTAATTAATGACTTGGTACACTAAAAGCTTTTACCAAATATATTTTAATACATCTGCATTACTAATGTTCACATGACAAAAGTTGAGAGGTTCTAATGACTAGATTGCATAAACTCAACTACCAATTATTTCTAAAGACCCTTGAGGCTTATTTCCTACATAAGCTCTGTAATGAATGTCTTCAATTCTCACTCCGTGGCTTCCTTATTCAGACAGCAAGACATTCTTCTCTTAAAGGAATTTTCTCAGACTTCATATTTTTTGCATCAAACATGAAGCCATTCTGGCTTCAAAATGTTGAAAGAGATAACTCAATGGAGAATAATTATCTCCTTTACTGTCTTATCCTAAGCAACCAAATGGTTCATCCTTAATCTAACACCACAGGGTTGAGACCAAGGTACAAATTTCAGCTAGGCTTAATTTTAAGGTACCAAGTTGTAGTATTAACTTTAATAACTGCCACCAAAGGTGACTGTTTTAAGAGTGGACAGATGTTTCACATCCTTTGTTAGTTGAATTTCTAGGTATTTTATTCTCTTTGTAGCAATTGTGAATGGGATTGAACTAATGATCTGTCTCTCTGTTTGTCTGTTATTGGTGTATAGGAATGCTTGTGATTTCTGCACATTGAGTTTATATCCTGAGACTTTGCTGAAGTTGCTTATAGTTTAAGGAGATTTGGGGCTGAGACAATGGGTCTTCTAAATATGCAATCATGTTGTCAGCAAATAGTTTCCTAATTCAATACCATTTATTTCTTTTTCTTGCCTGATTGCTCTGGCTAGAACTTCCAATACTATATTGAATAGAAAAGGTGACAGAGGGCATCCTTGTCTAGTGCCAGTTTTCAAAGGGAATGCTTCCAGTTTTTGCCCATTCAGTATGATATTCACTGCAGGTTTGTCATAAATACTTTTTATTATCAAGGAGAACTACAAACCACTGCTGAAGGAAATAAGAGAGGACACAACAGATGGAAAAACATTCCATGCTCATGGTTAGGAAGAATCAATATCATGAAAATGGCCATACTGCCCAAAGTAATTTATAGATTCAACACTACCCCCATCAAGCTACTATTGACCATCTTCACAGAACTGGAAAAAAACACTTTAAATTTCATACGGAACCAAAAGAGAGCCCACATAGCTAAGACAATCCTAAGCAAAAAAGAACAAAGCTGGAGGCATCATGCTACCTGACTTCAAACTATACTACAAGGCTACAATAATTAAAACAGCATGGTATTAGTATCAAAACAGAGTTATAGACCAACGGAACAGAACAGAGGCCTCAGAAGTAACACTGCACATCTACAGCCATCTGATTTTTGACGAACCTGACAAAAACAAGCCATGGAGAAAGGATTCCCTGTTTAATAAATGGTACTGGAAAAACTGGCTAGCCATGTGCAGAAAGCTGAAATAGGATCCCTTCCTTACACCTTACACTAAAATTAACTCCAGATGGATTAAACATTTAAACATAAGACCTAACACCATAGAAACCCTAGAAAAAAACCTAGACAACACCATTCAGGACATAGGCATAGGCAAGGAATTCATAACTAAAACACCCAAAGCAATGGCAACAAAAGCCAAAATAGACAAATGGGATCTAATTAAACTTAAGAGTTTTTGCACAGCACAAGAAACTATCATTAGAGTGAACCGGCAACCAACAGAATTGGAAAAAAACTTTTGCAATCTACTCATCTGACAAAGGGCTAATATCCATATCTACAAATAATTAAAACAGATTTATAAGAAAAAAAACAAACAAACCCATTCAAAAGTGAGCAAAGGATAAGAACAGACACTTTTCAAAAGAAGACATTTATGAGGCCAAAACACATGAAAAAATGCTCATCATCACTGGTCATTAGAGAAATGCAAATCAAAACCACATTGAGATACCATCTCATGCCAGTTCAAATGGCGATCACTAAAAAATATGGAGACAACAGCTGCTGGAGAGGATGTGGAGAAATAGGAACACTTTTACACTGTTGATGGGAGTGTAAATTAGTTCAACCATTTTGGAAGATAGTGTGGCAATTCCTCAAGGATCTAGAAATAGAAATACATTTGACCCAGCAATCCCATTACTGGGTATATGCCCAAAGGATTATAAACCATTTTATTATAAAGTCACATGCATACATATATTCATTGCAACACTGTTTACAGTAGCAAAGACCTGGAACCAACCCAAAGGTCCATCAATGATAGACAAGATAAAGAAAATGTGGCACATATACACCATAGAATATCATGCAGCCATAAAAAGGATGAGCTCATGTCCTTTGCAGGAACATGGATGAAGCTGGAAACCAGCATTCTCCGCAAACTGACACAAGAACAGAAAACCAAACACTGCATTTTCTCACTCGTAGGCAGGTGTTGAACAATGAGAACACATGGGCACAGGGAGGGGAATATCACACCCTGGGGTCTGTAGGGCAGTAGAGGGCTAGGGGAGGAACAGTGCGGGGTAGGAAGGTTGGAGAGGGATAACATTGGGAGAAATGCCTGATGTAGGTAACTGGGGGATGGAGGCAGCAAACTACCATGGGATGTGTGTACCTATGTAACAATCCTGCAAGATCTGCACATGTACCCCAGAACTTAAAGTACAATTACAAAAAAAACCTTAACTTCTTAAAGTAGACATTTCTCTCAAGGCCAAGGAACCCACTTGATCAAATGCACTGTAATATGGGAAGAGCAGAAACATGCCCTGGTCTCTTCACCAAACTGATCTCCACATAACCACATTGCTAGATTAACACAACCTGTTCATTTGTCTATAAAATGCATTGATGGATGCCCCAATGTGGTAGGCTAATATTACCATTACTACTCTCTCATCAGTTCAATTATTTGCTAATTAAGCTTTATTTGTGTTTGTTCTCAAACCAATATATTCC